GGGTCCGAAGACCCGAGACAGGAGGAGGAAGTGGCTGCTGCTGCTGCTGCTGCTGCGACTGCTGCTGCTGCGGAAGCGGCTGCTGCTGGGACTGCTGCTCCTGCGGGTCCAGCTGCTGCTGCTGCTGCTGCTGCTCCTGCGGCTCCAGCTGCTGCTGCTGCTCCTCCAGCCGCTGTAACTCCCTCTCCTCTCTTTCCAACGCCAGCTGCTCGTCACGGGCACGGCGAACACGAGCCTGGTGCCTAGTCGGGTAGGGGTGGGGGGGCGGAGTAGTGTCCGAAGCAGCGGTAGCTCCAGAGTCCACCCCCGAAGAACCAGGCGCACCACCCCCAGAGGCAGCACTAACACCAGCTCCAGACCCAGGCTCACCAGAACCCGAAGGAGGCGCACTCTCACCCCCAGTGTTCGCGCGACCAGCACCAGCTCCCGGACGACAAGAGTCCTCTGCACCCACCGGGTCAGCTCCAACTCGAGAACCAGAAACTCCAGCTCCAACTCCAGCTCCAACCCCAGCACCCCCAGAACCAGAAACTCCAGTGCCAACTCCAGCTCCAACTCCAGCTCCAACTCCAGCTCCAACTCCACCACCCCCAGAACCAGAAACCGGTACAGGAACAGGCGCAGCACCAACCTCTCGAGAGCTAGCGCCTGCGGCACGCTGCGAGGAGGACTGTGGGGAGGGAGGCTGTACTGGAGAGGCTACCGAAGGAGGAGGGGTAGCCTGGGACACACCCGACGGGGCTGGACCAGGGGGGGGAGGCTGTACCGGGGGAACAGGAGGGGGAGCGGCAGTCAGGAAGAGGGGGGGAGGAGGAACCTGGAGACCTCGACTGGGGTACCTGACGTAGTACGGAGTGGACTCCTCGAAACGGACGTCACGGGAGTCAAAGAACCGGTGAGAGGGAGGGTGGTAAAAGGTGAAGTCAGAGGAGTCCTCAGGGAAACCAAGGAAGACACAGGGGACGGCACGAGGCGAGAGCTTGTCCGCGGAGGTGTCGCGGACAAGAGCCAAGCACCCCCAGACACGAAACCACGACGCAACACCAGGGGACCCTGTCCAAAGACTGGTCGGTGAAACCTCTGGTCGAGAGACACGTGGCCAGAGGTTCAGCTGGTGCGCGGCGTACCTGACCGCGTAGGGCCACAGAAAATGGGGGCCACAGGCGTGAGTCAGGGAGGTGCGGGCGATCTCCATGACCAGGCCTATGCGGCGCTCAGCAACCCCATTCTGCTGTGGGGACTCTGGAAGCGTCCAGGACTGACGAATGCCCTGCTCGCGACAGAATCCAGCGAGAATGCCGGAGCGAAACTCACCCCCACGGTCGGAGTGGAGGCAGCTGACACGACGACCACGAGTGTCCTCGGTGGTGAGCAACCACCTGATCAGCGTAGAAGTCACCTCAGACTTCTTCGCCAGAGGGAACACTGTGGTGTAGCGGGAGAAGTCGTCAACGACCACCAGAAAGTAGCGCTCACGCTCAGGGCCTAGACGAGGGGCGGGGTCCCAGACGTCCAAGTGAAGCGTCTCAAAAGGCTCGGTGGCCGGACGAAGGGAGGCGGAGTGAGGGGCGGCGCGCAGCCGACCCTCGACGCAGGGACCACACGGCGGCGCAAGCGAAGGCGGCAGCGACGGCAAGACACGTGGGAGGCCTAGGACAAGACGCTGACTAGACATAGCGCGCAGACGAGGAAGGGACGGGTGCCCCATTCGGTGGTGCCACAGAACGGTGGGGTGGGCAAGCGACCGGCAGGAGCACGACGCAGCGACTGGAACAGACGTAGGAACCTGACACGACACAGACACCTGGGGGGACGAAGCAACCTGGTGAGACACGGGGACCCGAACGGGGGGGGGAACCGGGGGCAGTGGCAGTAGGGGGGGCTGCTGGTGCGGCCGCTGGTGCTGCTGCTGCTGCTGCTGCTGCTGCGGCTGCGGCTGCTGCTGCTGCTGCGGCTGCTGCTGCGGCGCACGCGGGCCAGTGTGAAGAGTGTAGAGACCTGAGCCCGGCTCAGCAGTAAAGGTAGCAAGAGGCTGGTAAGAGTCTCCGTCAACACACACCGCAGTCTCTCCAGAAGGCTCAAACCACACACCCACGTGCTGACTCACGAGGGGTCGCACGCCCACCAAGTTCCGGGAGAACGAGGGGACGTGAAACCCAGTGAGAGACCCGGAGGGAGCAGCAGGACACGGTAAAGTGGTAGTGTGACGTGCAGTGACTGGTCCCGTAGTGGGATCAGCCAAAGCCACAGAAACAGGCGCAGGAAGTGGTGTAAGTGTCGTGCTGTCCCGGAAGAAGCAGTGTGAGGCTCCAGAGTCCAGCGTGAACGACAGCGAAGCGTCCTCTGAGGTAGTCGCTGGTCTAGAGTCTACACAAGAACCTACACTAGCAACAGGCAACTGAGCAAGACTAGCACCTAAGCTAACAACACCAGAGTAAACAGAGTCAGAAACACTAGAGTCAACAACAGCATACATAGCATGAGGAGCACCAATCAGATCAACTAACTGCTCAGCAGACATGCCCCACAGAGCGGAGCCGTAGCGCTGAACCAGAGGAAGCCAGTCAGGAGCAGGACCGCCAACCCCGTAGGCCAACCGGACCGTGTCAGTGAGCTGAGCAAAGCACTGACCAGGGGGGTGAAAGCGGCCACAAGGGTGGCCCCGACGAGGACCTGTCAGAACCTGATAGGTGCAGGGAGGGTAAGAAGCACCGCGCTGGGGCTGACGCAGCCCCGACCCCGGAGCCAGCTGCTGACGCTGCTGCTGCTGAGGCTGGCGGGAGGAAAGGGGCTGCTGCTGCTGCTGAAGGTGCTGCTGACGCTGAGCCTGGTACCACGCCGCTGCTCCACCTAGTGGGGTCGGCAGTACAGGAGGCGACTGACGAGCTCGGGGGTCGCCGCCACCAGCAGGCGCAGTGGAGTCACCAGCCGCTGCACGAGGGGTCTCTCCAGACGCTGCACTCCCACCACCGCCAGTCGCAACAGCACCCCCACTACCTCCGCTACCTCCACCTCCACCTCCACCAGAACTACCTTTCTTGCCCCCCTTGCCGCGGGACCGCGACGCAGTCGTAACAGCAGCCGCAGTCGCGTCAGTAGCGGCAGTGGCGAGAGAGGCAGTGAAGGTGGGTAACTGCGGGACTGTGCACCCGTGGAAGAGTGGGGGGGACACAGTACCAGAGGCGGCAGCTACCGAGCGAAGGTTGCTCTCGACGTCCTTGAGTGCAGACTCAAGGACCTCGATAGTCAGCTCACTAGGGTGCTTCAGCAGAAGCGCGTCACGAACGGAGGCTAGGCGGTCAGGGAGGCTAGTGGCGATGAAATAGACAGTAATCGCCATGGGGGGAGGAAGCAGTGCAAGCTGTGCCTCAGTGCAAGCAGCGCGGTAACTAGCGTCGAGCGAGCGGAGGTGAGCGATCAAGTCAGCAGAGCGCTCAAACGAGGCGAGATCAGGAAACAGGAACGGGAGGAAAAGACGGCCAAGAGAGACAGTAGCGGGAGTAGAGTAGCGGGCCTTAATCGCAGTGAGGTACGCAGCAGCGGTGCGAACCTGAGTAAAGTGGACCTCCTCTGACTCAGGGAGGAGGCTGCTGAGTGCGATGCAGGCCGCAGCGTCACGCGACGTCCAAGCCGTCCGGTCAGCGCGCTGACGGGCAAAGCGAGCCGTAGCAGCGTCGTCAGGGGCAGAGCCTAAAGCTGTAGGCTCGGGGGGCTCGGGGAGGTCACCAGTAGCGTGCGACCAGAGGGTCTCGCCCCCCTGGACCTGACTCTCTAACAGACGGCGAGCGCGAAGAAGCCAGACGGAAAAGTCAAGTGGTCTACCGTCAGCGTCGAAACGAAGAACTCGCGGAGTCGCCATAGTGAGAACTAACGCGAACGAACAGGCGAGTAACAACCGGGGAGAAGAGGCAAATTAGGGTTCAGGTGGGAAGGGGACTCAGTCGCAGCGGAAGAGCGGGCTAGGGCGACGGGCCAGGGCGTAGGGTAGGGCGACGGGCTAGGGCGTAGGGTAGGGCGACGGGCCAGGGCGTAGGGTAGGGCGACGGGCCAGGGCGTAGGGTAGGGCGACGGGCCAGGGCGTAGGGTAGGGCGACGGGCCAGGGCGTAGGGTAGGGCGACCTAGGGCGTAGGGCGACGGGCCAGGGCGTAGGGTAGGGCGATGGGCCAGGGCGTAGGGTAGGGCGACGGGCCAGGGCGTAGGGTAGGGCGACGGGCCAGGGCGTAGGGACGGGACAGGGCGACGCGACGGGGCAGGGCGGCGCGATGGGGCAGGGTGACGGGACAGGGCAGGGCGACGCGACGGGGCAGGGCGACGCGACGCGGCAGGGTGACGGGACGGGGCAGGGCGACGCGACGGGGGAGGGCGACGGGACGGGGCAGGGCGACGCGACGGGACAGGGCGACGGGACGGGGGGGAAAGGGCGGGCACGACGTGACGGGGGGAACGGGCGCGACGCGACGGGGGGAAAGAGCGCTAGGCGACGGGGGGAAAGGGCGCGACGCGACGGGGGGGGGGGGGGGGGGGGGGGGAAGGGCGCTAGGCGACGGGGAGAAAGGGCGCTAAGCGACGGGGGAGAGGGCGCTAGGCTCGGTACTAGGCGCGGTAACAACGGAACCGGTACGAACGAGAGGTAGGATCAGGCTCGGGAGGGACGAACGGAGAACGGAGGAACGGGATCCCACAGGATCCTAACCTAGCTGATACCATGTCAAAATGAGGAATGATGATCCATTGATGTTGGTTGGGGTACATATAACAAACCCTAACTTCTGTACCCCCTAAGACAAACCTCACTACAGGCTACAACATTTGACACACGACTCTTCTTAACACCCTTTCGCACAGTGCTTCAGGCATACCGGTATTACACCAAAGCAGCCACAGCAGCAGATAACCATGGCCATAGCGCAGAGCATGGACCATCATGGCTCAGCATCAGCATGTGATGAGTCGATTTTTGAGCCGAGCCGACTGAAAAAAGGACCACTATGGATCAGCATCAGGCCATGGCTATCGTCTCAGCACAGTCATCCGGCCACGCCTGCCATCCTGGACCAAGCCCCACACCAGCAGCAGAAGCAGAAGCAGCAGCAGCAGCAGCACCACCACCACCACCATCACCGCCTGCACCCAGCCTGTCTCCTGCACTCCCCCGCACCCTTTTTACTACAGCCATCCCACTCACATCTGCCACTTGAGACAAGGTCACCCTTGCACTCCCACCGCTCCCTCCTGAGCCTACAACATCTCCCTCAACACTCGCTGCTCCGCGGCCTATCTCAACAGCTTCCGGAGACTCTTCCAAAGCCGCGGCCGCCGTTCGTGGCGCCTCAAAAGCCACCGCCCTTGCTGCTGCACCACCATTCCCTCGCGTGCAAGCCACGCCTGGTGCTGTGGGAATATCTGCTGCTCGTTGTCTCCCTCTCACCATGTCTCCCGTGCCTGTTGCCCCCGCTGCTCCACCCCTCGTGCTGGATTTCGTGTGAAAGCGCCTGCCTCACCTTGGCGTGCATGACCGCCCATTCGCATCCATCCCTTCCCCACCCCCACCACCACTCCCACCGGCACCCGCACCCGCACCCGCACCCCCAAACACACACCCACCCCCACCGCCGATTTCCATCCACGCTTCCTTCTCCGCGTCCTGCTCAAACCTCTCCGCCTTGCCTCCTCTGCACACTCTCTTCTCACACACTCTTTCCTCAGACTCTTCCCTCTCACACTGTGCTCCGCCATACGACTTGTTTCTCCCCCCAACTTCCCCCAGCGCCGCTTCCCCCAACGCTACCCCCTCCGCGCCTTCCCCCGTGCCTCCGCCGCCAAGCAGGGCCTCCCAGAACATGGCGGAAACTTGCACGGCGGACCCAGGGGTGGCGGGAACACGCGCGGGGGAAACGCGCGCGCGCGGATGCGCGGAAGCCCCAATGACCCCCTGAGAAGACCCTCCGTCCCGCTCATTCCGCTCACATTCCCCTGCGCCCGGCCCCCCTTGACTTCTGATTCCCCCCTCCTCGAAACCCCCTCGTTCTGTTTGTGCGCGGCCCCCTCGCAGCCTGCACATTTCCGCGTTCGCATCGCGCTTCTTCCGCCGCTTATCTCTCCCCCACTCGCCGCGCATCGACCCTGCCCTTGTAAAACCCGCTCTTTCCCCGCATCCTTCCGCTCCCCCGCATCCTTCCGCTCCCCCGCATCCTTCCGCTTCCTCACATCCTCTCTCGTTCCCGCAGCGCGGCTCCCGATGCGCCCCGGAACAACCGCCGCTTCTCCCGGAAGCCGCGTCGCCGCTTCTAGAAGTAAGCAGACTTAACTCTGAGTCGGCTCGCGGTTGCGTCCAGATCCGGCTAATCGACGACGACGGATGCAGCAACTGCGACCCGGCTCCTCGCGACAGTAACAATCGCGGGTTAAGCCCCGCGACGGCATAGTTACTAGTATATGCCAAGAAATCGTCGTTATTTCGGAGTGCCCGACCCACGGAGACCGCGAGCGGAGTCCCGGGCGGGGTGGCGCAAACGGTAGCGCGCGGGGAGGCGAGCGGGGAGGGGGAGAAGGACGAAGGAACCCGGTGGGTGGGGGAGCGGCTTGGCTTGCGGATAGACGGTTGCGCTGAGTCGCCAAATTGTCGGGGGGATTGAGAAAGAGGACAGGGAAACGCGGGGAACGAAAGAATAGGCACGGGGGACTGGGGCGGAAAAAAGGATGAGCGGATTTCCGCGGGGACGAGCACTGGCGGGGAGCAACGGGAGCTGTGCCGGGCGGGGGCTAGCCGGCTTCGACGCTTTTCCACCCCTTGCCGCTCGCTTGCGCGACGCGGGATGTTCAAATCAGTGGCACCGTTCGAATCGGCTCTTGGTGGAGTGCCGCCGAATGCGGCACCTGAACCAGAATTGTAGTCACCTAAAGCGTCAGAGGTAGGAGCGCCGGTTGCAGAATTGTCGAGACATGGCGACACGCTAACGGCTAACTCAGCGGCTCCTTGACGTTGCTGATTGGGACTACTCGCGGGACAGGAGCGACCCGCCGACAGGGGCCGAAACGGCTGCTGCTGCTGCTGCTGTTGCGGTTGCTGTTGTTGCTGCTGCCGCCGCTGCTCCTGCTGCTGCGGTTTCTGCCGTTGCTGGTGATACTGGTCCGATTCACCAACGTTTGATTGTTCTTGCCTTTCAGATGAAACTCCAGCGTTTCCATTTACCGGCGCTTCGCTCGCAAGTATCGACTGCTCGGATTCAGCCGACTGCAGGCGAGGCGGCTTTTTTTGGCGTTTCGACGCCGCGTGCCTGCTACTAATCCCACTTGGCGGAAGCCTGGACACCGTTTGCGAGTGCGAGAGTAGGCCCATGGATTCCCGACTGCCGCAGTGAGAAGGACTACATTCTGCTAAAGTGCTTTGCCCGACAGGAGGTATTGGCGTGACATGGAGATACGTTACTGGCCAACGCTCTTCTTGCCCGAGAGGCATGCAATCAATTCTAGGGACCATGAGAATATATTTCCGCTGTGTTAGGACCAGCGCGAGAGAGAGGGTGAGAAGCGTATAGAAGGTCGATTTGGCGGTGGTTTTGGCAATCGAGCTGTCTGTAGTATCTGGGCGTCGGAGACACTGGGATACAATCAGGCTTGTCGGTTCAAATTGCTGCTGGTGAAGCGTGTCTGCTGGCGTCGAGGAATCCACACGAGCCTATTGGAGCAAGGTCCTGAGCGGAACCGAGCGAAGTCAGGCGAAAACATTCTCAAGCAGGCGAAAACAGGCGACAGTAGCAGCGGATGTGGTAGAATCGCGCACAAGGCAAACCAAGAGGGACCGAGTGCAGATGGTTGGTGGAGTGGTTTGGCAGTAATGCAAGCCCAGCTGGCTCTGGCGAGGGATGGCAGGACGCGGTTTCAAGGAAGCATTTCACACTGAACAGTAATACGGGCAGGTGTCATAAATCTATGTGAAAGTTTTATCCCTGCAATATATCCAATACAGTAAATACTGGAAAACGTTATTGCACAAAACGAGAAAAGCTGGTCAAGTGCTGTCCAAGTTCTTACTGATGGTGACGTCTGAGTGAGAGTTGACGTTACAGTCGGTGCCCATTTCAAGAACACCAGGTAGGCGGGCGGCATGTGCGTGAAATCTGCTCAAGTTCTTTCGCCAAGTTCGCCGTTGTCGCCACGGGCAAAAATGTGACAATAATTTGAAATTGCAACGTGAATCGATTTGAGGGCTTTAACTTCGTAACCAGGCTAGCTTCTCTGATGAAGAGCAACCGTTGTTGTTTATATTTTGTAGATGTTTTTCTTCCTCAACTTGGTGACTGTACCCCGAAATCGGCACGATGGTCAATTTAGTCACTCACAGGCAAAACGTTCGCGAGTGACTAATTTTCTCATTGTGCGAGGCCAATGTTTTGTGATGGTCTGAGCATCGACTGTACTCCCTCAGGCAAAAAGTCAGTCCGTAGATGTGTGTGATGATGGGCTTGCGTATGTGTGTGGTCCACTTGTCGGCTGGGGTGTGCCTTGCGAGTTGCAAATGTGAACTGGGCAGTACACAACCTAAAAACCCAGTTGGAGAGAAAGTTTCCGAGTGGAACGTTCGTGGTCCCACTCAGCGACTGTGTCTGTTTTGGGAGCGAGTCAGAGGTTCAAACATTCGTTTAAGTGAGACCGAAGTCTAGAAGGGGGAAACCTCCTCTTCGAGTAGGCTTTCCAAGTCCAGATTCACACAGCATCATTCAGGATGGTCCCTAAACCCATACAAGTTCTTCATGAGAGGAGCAACAGTAAGAAGGCCCATTTTAAGTGGTGAATGCATTGTTGGGGTTTGTGTTTGTGAGGGGAGGGACAGAAGAGTTGACGGAACGTCCATATCCTCCGCTCCATTCATTAACTCAGGGAAAGGCCCGACATTTAGGGTAAGTGAAGTCTGGCAGATTGGGCTTCCCTTGCAGTGAATACTCACCGTAACTGACACGTGGGCTGTCATGCACAATGATGAAAACAGGAGCAGCAATGCTATCCACATAGACGACAGACAACCCCAGACCCACGCGGCCAACGGTACAGTGCACCACTGCTGCCCAGCACATCACTGTAGCGAGAAAACAAAGGTCCTGATTCGGGGAAAATGAAGTTTCATCGGAAATACAATTTCATGATTAGGAAAACTAGAATCTTAAGCGGGTTTTTGGGTTGCGTAGCAACCCCTTAACATTTGGTAGCCCTTTTTTCGGTCGACTCGAATGAACAGTGCAATATTCGTCATTTTCAACGTTTGAAGCACCCCTTTAAACATTTTTCTTGGACTGCTCTAAAGGCGTGGAGGTGACGGCACTGATACATAAGAGTCTCCAATAAATGTGAAACTGTAAGGAAAATTCCTTTTCCTTACTTCGCATCCCTGCTCAACGCGTACATCACTGTAGCACCACAGTCAGCACCGTTACCACTCGCAACCCTCGCATCGACAATCCGCCCGCCACCTTCGCACATCGCACCCCGACCTCACGGCTCGGCGAGTAACCCGCGATCCGGGCCTCTACTTCGACACTTTTACCCAACCACAGTCCCAGGCCCGTCGCGCGACAACCACAGTCCATTACCGTTACCACTGTAGTTTTGCTATATATTCTTCGCTCATGCCTTCGCTCATTGGACTCTTGCTTCGATAGTGCAATTCTCGTTCGTTCACTCAATTGCACTCGTAACAGAAACCAAAAGTAAATAATCATTCCGTAATCGTCGATAAATACGGCGAATGGAAAAATTGGTCGTCACACTAGACACCCAACACAATTGACGAGACAACATGTCAGAACGTTATATAGCTTATGCTGTTGTGTAGGCTATAGTGGGGTATCCCATAGGGGGTACAACCCAATTAGGGTTTCCTATATGTACTCACTTCATTCATAGTTCATCCATTCTCGTTCTATTCTTCTCATGGTATCGAGCAGGTTCCCCTGTGGGAACTGCGCCTAAGGCCCACCACTCGATTTTTTTTCCTGCCCGAAGCGCACTCATCCCGAGTCGCGCCTCGGGCCATTCTCTTACCGAGCCGCCCTAGCGGCCGACCCTACGATCGCGGCCCCGCCGCCCCTTAATCGCGGCCCCGTCGCCCTTACATCGCGGCCCCGCCGCCCTTACATCGCGGCCTCGCCGCCCCTGCTCTCGCGGCCCCGCCGCCCTTTGATCGCGGCCCCGCCGCCCCTGCTCTCGCGGCCCCGCCGCCCTTACCTCGCGGCCCCGTCGCCCTGCTGTCGCGGCCCCGCCGCCCTTACGTCGCGGCCCCGCCGCCCCTGCTCTCGCGGCCCCGCCGCCCTTACGTCGCGGCCCCGCCGCCCTTACATCGCGGCCCCGCCGCCCTTTGATCGCGGCCCCGTCGCCCTGCGGTCGCGGCCTCGCCGCCCTCACATCGCGGCCCCGTCGCTCTGCTCGTGCGGCCCCGCCACCCTCCTATCGCGGCCTCGCCGCCCTGAGCTGTGCGGCCTCGCCGCCCTCTCCTACGCGGCCCCGCCGCCCTCACCAACGCGGCCCCGCCGCCTTCACCTGAGCGGCCCCGCCGCCTTCACCTACGCGGCCCCGCCACCTTCACCTACGCGGCCTCGCCGCCCTCACCTACGCGGCCCCGCCGCCCACGCAGCCGACCGCCACGCCGCCCGGTACCGGAGCAGCCGAGTCGCCCAGCAGCAGCCGCCGCACCGCCGGACCACCGAGCCGCAGTGCAGCCGAGCCGCCCCGCCCCCGAGCCGCCCTGCACCCGAGCCGCCCAGCAGCCGAGCCGCCCCGCCCCCGAGCCGCCCTGCACCCGAGCCGCCCGGCACCCGAGCCGCCCTGCCGCCGAGCCGCCCGGGAGCCGAGCCGCCCAGCAGCCGAGCCGCCGAGTCGCCAAGCCGCCCTCCTGCCGAGCCGCCCAACCTTCCCTGCCCGGTGAGCACCGTACCGCTGTCACTGCGTGCACTTCCCCTACTGCTTGCACTGCTCCACTGTCGTCGTCATGGCTACCCCTAGTGTCCTCGCTTTTGACGCTGAGGGTAGAGCCATTGACTTTGAGGTCTGGGTCGACGACCTGCAGCT